CAGAGTGTAAAAGATTAATTTTTTCGTCAAAGTACTTAAACTGACGACTTTGCAAGTATAATTTTTCAAAAATTTCTAGGGAGGACCCCGGCCCCGATCCCCCTTTCTGCTGGGGGATACTCCATACCCCCAGACCCCCTGTTTGGCGTAGTAAAACAAGGCCTCGCAATTATGTATTGCCCCAGGCCTCGCATTTTATAAAGGCCGCTCTGCATGAGCCTTAAAATATATTTTAAACATATTTAAACATTAAAGACTAGCCTAAAAAGTATAGAATAATTTTATAAATATTTTTTTTTTAAATACCACGTTTTCAAACGCACTAAAAAATTGAAAATAGTTTTTAAATATGTGGGGAGGATAAATACTTGTAAGATTTAAAACGAAAAACGTGGGGCGCATGCAATAAATAATAATAATTCAATATAGGTTAAGAAGATGTTAGTATATTTATTACAAGCGCAAAAAAGCTAAAAAGTATTATTTTCTACTTTTTAGTCTTAATAAAGTAGCAAATTGTTGGCCCAACACTGGAAAATGGTCGGCACGGTGGGGAAATGGTGGGTGGAAATTAATTGTAACACCTTGCCAACGTTGGCCCAACGGTAACTTGTATTCTTTGGCCATACAAAGGAATCGTTGGGCCTTTGTTGGATTTAAGTCTAAAACATTCTTAAACACATTTTAACAAATTAATTAATTTAATAAGAAAATTAATGCTATGTCAGCAGAATATTAGACGATTTCAGAGAAAATTATTATAATCGAAATTATCGTTATTTGATCCAAAATAACGATTATATTATAGCCTACAGTAATACATAAATATATAGTAGTAAAAGAAGGTACATGACTTTTTAATTTGGTTTTGGTAGGGAAAAAGATAACGACCGGGACCGGGAACGGTATTCATTTTGGTACATGTATGTAAGCTACTTTTAGCGAATTTCCCATATAGAGAATAAGCTATTACCGTATTTATATATATGTATGTGTCCGTTAGCTCGATAACTCGAACAAAAATGATCCGATTTTGATGAAATTTGGTATAAACGTGTAAACCTACATTTATTTGAACGAGTTCGCGAACCAGCATGATCGGACCATGGGAACGGGGGTTTATGGGGGTTTTGTGGGGTAAAAATGTTTTTCCCATTTTTGACCCTAAAAACATAAAATTTTGGAATATCTTTCTCAACCGTTTTGAAGAGCTTAAAAAAATAAATAAGTTAGTATATTGAAGCATTGTTGTATGCCTAAGGCCCCTCGCCCACTATACGATTTCGGTCGTACGACATTGTGTCGGAACGACAACATTTCAACAGTGAACCATTGGATCTTATGAGAGCTCGCCCACTGTACGATAATCTCACGACTACGATAAACTGTCGTGAAACAGTCGTCCACTGCCACTGTGATACACGACTGTCGTACGACTGTCTAACTCGCAGTGGCGTGTATGTTCAAATGGGCGCTCGCCCACTATACGATTTTTATCGTATGTCGTGCGTTCTCCCCAAGTTAGTTCGCGCTGAGCCTTCTCGCTGTTCACTTCGCATGACTTTCGCTAATTTAAGTTTTGTCATTTAAAATAGTGTTTTCGTCTTTTGAAATAGTTTTTTGCATAATTTTGATCGTGCGTATATGTTTTACAATTAATTCATACTTGTTTATTATAATGTTTGATAGGCTATATCGCTTAGTTTTTTGCCTTTTTTAGCCAACATTTTGCGTGATTTTGATCTTGTCTGTATTCCTGACAGTTCGTTCATATTTTTCTTTATACTATTTTAATGTACTGTATTACTTATAAGTAAATATAAAAAAAAATAAAACAATGCGACTTAATTTAATTATTTAACTATTTAATTAATTTAATTATTTAATTATTCCTTAATTTTTTATAACAATTGTTATTAATTATATTGTGTTAAATAGTTTGTCTAAAATTTTAATAATTTTTAAACAAATAGTATTAATATTTAAAAACAATACAAAACATGTTCGAACATACAAAACCTTTTACCAAAACTATCCCAAAACCTATGAAAGTAATATAACAAACATCAGTAAAGTTAAAAACTTGTTAAATGGTACGGACTCGTATAATTTTAAAATATCTTTAAATAGGAACATTAACTTAACATTAACCTACATTAACTTAAGAAATAATCTACACATAAAAAAATAATTACTTTTTTAATGATGTAGCCCCACATTGACCACTTCCAACAAAACGTATCAAATATATAATTAAGGAACGCGGCAGCGTTCCGCCCCGCCAAGTCCCCCAGCGGTACACAGCTGCTGCAGTGTATATATACATGACGTGACAAAGTGGCTTTTTTACTCGTCTATAGCTCTGAAGAAACAAAAGCTATTAAAATAATTGTTCATCTACTGGATAGGGGCAATCATTCTCAACAAAATTCAAAAAAATAATTTAAAAAACGGTTGTGTTTGAGCCAAGAAAAACTAGTTTGAAAATTCACAAATTTTCCGTGTTCTCCTTCTTCTCCTTAAATGTTGACGGACCTACAGCCCAAACCACTGGCTCAATTTTAATGTTTTTTATGTTGTTTGAAAGCCCTTAGCGTGTAGATGTGCCTTTTGAGGGTCTCAAGTCGGTGCGTTGACCCATAAACCCTTGGCAAGCCCTCAAAGTACGAGTTTGGCCCATTTAAATAACATGGGATTAAAATCAAAACAAAAGAAGGACCAGCTGCGATTAAATCTTAATTAATTAAATGTTAGAGAAATTCATAGGAACAGCTGAAAAATTATTTTAATACTTTTATAAAGTATTTTTTTCAGGTATACTGAATGATTTGAACTACTTACTATATAAAATTACTTAGAGCAGTGATATTCCCCGATACTTTTCATTGAAAAATGCAGTGTACCGATGGTACAGTGGTACAGCAGCTCGTCATTTTTAACAGTTTAATACTACTTATCAAAACATATGAAACCTAGGAACTTGAAACTTAGTACTAGTACGCTAGTACTAAGGTTTGTTCTATGTTTTGATACACTAAAACAAATAAAACGATCGGGAAAATCACTCTACATATGTTAAACAAGCAATTAAAAAGTGATATGTAAATTTAGGATAAATGAGTTATTCAATATTTGTTTTGCCTTATGCTATTTCTAACAAACCTAATTAGTTTGATTACATTTTTACATCTCTAATAAGGGCTCAATTTACACTAGTCTTTAGATATACGGGTTTAATTATTAGAACACCTTTGTAACATCAACACATTTTATGTTGTTCAAGATGAGCATTGATGAAATTTGAAACTGAGTTTAAGCCCAGTGGGTTTGTTAAATAGTAATTTTGGTACGTGTGTCAAAAAGTTTTTAATCTGTTTAAAGCAGATAAGACCAAAAATGTAGAATTTAGTTCTACATTAACAATATTATTGAAATTAAATGAGATGTAGTTGTGCCGTGGTCTATATATCAGAGAAAAGAGGATTTTTATTTTAACTGTTAATTTTCTACAAAAATAAATAAAATCTAACAAAAAACCACTAAGTGGTAACACTTTCCCCGCCAAGTCAGCAATCCAAAAAAGTTAATAAATCATTACTTTTTCCGCCAAGAAAAACAATGTAATGTATGTAAGTTTGGCAACTTGGCGGCAGACTTTTGCTCGATCCCTTTAAAAAATACCATAAAACTAGTTTCATTGAGCAAGTATCCCTCCCATTGGTACATTGCTAGGTGAGAGCTTATTTTACAAAATTTGACCTTATTTGTGCCACATTTCATAAATTATACTTAGTTGGACTAATTAATTAGAGAAGTTGATTTGTGAAATTATCCACGAACGTAACTTAAATGAAAAAAACCAAGCAAAAGTCTGCCGCCAAGTTGCCAAACTTACATACATTACATTGTTTTTCTTGGCGAAAAAAGTAATGATTTATTAACTTTTTTGGATTGCTGACTTGGCGGGGAAAGTGTTACCACTTAGTGGTTTTTTGTTAGATATAATCTTACTAACCACAACGTAATAGCTAGACTTTCTTTAGAAGTGATGCAGTTCCTCAGTTTAGTATTTTGGTAAGCAATTGTAGCTTTTATTTTCTGGTGTAATTCATCAAAGTACGCAGCAGACATTCTGAAGTAGTTGAAAAACTTGTTATCATCACGCCGGAGTTCATCAAAAAGAGTTTGAAATGATCCTGTGTGTTCCCTACTTTAATTCATAGGGTGAATCCAATACTTCCGCTTAATCCTACGATACTTAATTCTACGCCATAGCAGCCCGTAGCAACGACACGTAACGGATCCATTGTTTAGATAAAAAACCATTCTTAAGATATTGCGCAACACACACTCACTCCTCCATGGCTACCGAGCAACTGGTCCGACAAAGTGTCGTATAGTATAGTGGGCGAGGACCACACATACGATAAGAATATCGTACGACACAGTGTCGTACGACTGAAATCGTATAGTGGGCGAGAGGCCTTCACGGAGAAAATTAAAAAAAGTGTAATTTAAAATACCCATGTTATTTTTATGGAGAAAATGAAAACTGTTGTAGTTAACTTGTTTATGGATAGATTTTAATAAAATTTGGCAAATTTATCTATTTCATATTACACTATTGATGTTTGGTCAAAAAACAAATTTTACCTTCCCCGTAGCAGCAAACCTAAGCACTCTTTAAATCTAATGCTATTTAAATTTGGAATAAAAATGTCTTATTTATGGAAATATTTTAGTAAAAATGTAATCAGACAAGTGGAAATTCGCTTAGTCTGCAGGTTTACTGTGGCGGGGGTATTTTGCTACTACTACCATAGATAAAAGGAGTTTTAATCTATGCTACTACAACTCCACTCTACTACTGCAGGCAGACGGGCAGACTGCAGTGCAGACCCAAATCAAATCAACTGTCAAAATTGTAAGGGTCAACTCTCTATACTCTCTCAAACTGAAAACTGACTGAATTTACTTTTCGTTTTCAAGGCTAGGCTAGGGTCGCTTGGTGACTTTTTAGAAATTAAGTTATTTATGACAATACTGTATTGATATTTTTGAAAAAGTAATAAAGTAATTCCAAAGAAAAGTAGGCCATGGTATATTAATGGTTTACTTATCACCTATAAATGTCTGGAATTGAAACTTGGATTTCGTTGTGAATAGAAGAATCTTATGAGTTCTAAATTAAGTCTGTGTTCCTGTACATAAAAATAAATTTAAATTAATAAAATGAACGTTAGATACAAGACTTTTATCGCCCTTATCGCTGTTATACTGTCAAGGTAAGCATAGGATTATTAATAGGTTAACCTCAAATTTAAATTCAAGTAGCCTAGGCTAAACTTTGGAAGACCTTGATTTTGTATTTGTTCAGGTTAGTCTTAGATATTGACTTAACTCCTGTCATAAAAGTTTAACATCCTAAAAAGGTTTTACTTAAACGTTTATCTAGGCATACAGCTCAATCCACTGTACTTGAAGGGGGGGTAACCCTGTACTTTGGGTTAGGGTCATTTCAGCATCAACCCTACAATGCCATCATCAGAGACAGTGAGAGCACACTTCCATATCTGTTGGCACAAACAACCGAATGAGTAATACTGATTATTCGATTGTTTAATTCGATATGATCGATATTTTCATTCAGTTGTTTGTGCCAACAGATATGGAAGTGTACCCGACAGTGATTCAGCTGAAGCAGTGTTGTCACAATCAAAATACAATAGGTACATGGTCTTTATTTTAGGCTACATTTAACTATAAAATGTAATTGAACACGCCTGTTGCTACTAGTTAACATTGACACAATCTGAACCATAGATGGCAACTGTATGTTAACTTAATCATAATTATCTTAATCATCAATATTATTTTCTGTCGCCCCTAAGCTATAAGCTCCGTGAATTGAATTGCATATTCTTCTAGTGTGTCCAGTTTATTCCCTTTCCTGCTTGTGTGGAGTACCTATCTCTAAGCCATAGTTCAATGACGTCATGATTTTTTGTCAGTCAGGTAGCCTAATGTGAAAAAGATTATTTTTGTTTGTCGGCTCTTTGACCTGGATGGTGGTCTTTGTACCTAGTTCCGAACGAAAGACTGTCCAGTTTTTCCTATGTAAAAGCTCAGGCAACTAGGCCCCTAGTTTTAACTTAATTAGCACATTTAGTTTTGTACACACTTGACTTCTCACTTTTGTAAATTAGGCCTTTCATTACAGTATCAGAAACGTGTAAGTTAGTTTGTTAATTGCCTTGTTATTGGTCTTGAACTCTTATACAATAAGCCTACCATGTTTCTTGTATTCTTTCGTAAGAGTGTATTGAATTGAATGTAGGCTATGTATTTTACACAGACATATGTCTGTTCTAAATTCTTCTTTAGCGGTTGAACATCTCCAGACTTTTTGTTTTTGTCTTTCTTAATTATGTCAATCAAATTGGTTAATACCCATTCTGTTAACACTATGTGTTTGATTTTATTTAGTTCTTTATTATAATTTTTGTCTGAAACAGTTCTTTATTATAATTTTTGTCTGACATTTCTATACTTAAGCGGCATACTTCTGTGATATGTGATAGAGGATGGTAAGACGTGTTGTGGATGGTTTTGTGCCACATGTATGAAAGACTGGATAGAAATTAGAACAAATCTATATCCGACTTATTTGATTAGACGTATAACTTCATCTGGTTTTATAAGTCGAATAGGCCTACCTCATTTTCTAGCTCAAACTGATCCCAATGGGTTCAAACTACCAACCCCTTTCATATCTGAAAGCCAGCACTATAACTACTCGGCTGACTAGACAATTTCTTAGGGAAATCAGAGAAATCCATACAACATTGAAAATAATAAATTCAACGTTCCATAGCCTACCTACAAATTTGGAAATAGTTATTTTAAGGAATTTATTATATGGTATTATTTTTTCAGATTTGGTTCAATGTCTCTGGCTGCACAAGAAAATATAATCCTAGGTGTTCAAACAACTATTAATTCTTCATCTCAGTTTCTTGAAGTAACAGACACTGGTCAGCATCATAGGCCTACGGATGAAAACATAAACCCAAAGGAAAATGTTATACAGGTGTGTAATACTATGTGAAAGATAAACACATTTCAAAGTGTGAATATCCTAAACATATTACTTGTTACTCTTACATAGCCTACATTTATAAACATGTAAACATGTTTCTTTAATTCTTTTGTAAGTGTGTATTGAATTGAATGTATGTATTTTACATAGACATACTTCTTATTTAGTGGTTGAACATCTCCAGACATTTGTTTTTCATCTTACTTAATTTTATGTCAATCAAATTGCTTTGTAACCAGTGTTAAACATGTCATATAGGGCTGTGAAAATGAATGTTTCACCTCATAATGTTTTAGCGAATTTCCCTATAGGGAAGTAGCTATTACCGTAGGTCTCATGGTAAGACTTAAGCCCGGGACCGATTTACTTTTTCATTTTGATGTCCCCAGAGGCCAAAAACACCATTCGTTCAAATTTTTATATATGTATATATATATATATAGATTTATATATATATGTGTCCGTGAACACGATAACTTGAGTAATTTTTATCCGATTTTGATGAAATTTGGTTTGAAGGTGTAAGGCGGGATAAACTTGAATGAGTTCGCGATCCAGCATGATCGGACCATGGGAACAGGGTTTTATGGGGGGTTTTATGGGGTAAAAATTGGTTTTTCTCACTTTTGACCCTCAAAACCCAAAATTTCCCAATTTTTCTCTAAACCTTCTTAAAGAGCTTAAAAAAACAAATAATTCAGTATATGAAAGTGTTTTTGTACGGTTATTGGTTACGGAGAAAACTAAAAAAATTGTAAATTTAAAATTCCCATGTTATTCTTATGGAGAATGTTGTAAAATGTTGTAGTTTGCTTGTTTATGGATATATTTTGATCAAACTTGGCAAATATATTCATTTTCTACTAAGCAATAATTATTTTACTTAAAACACACACTTTATTAGATTCCTTGTAGCAGCAAACCTAGGTACTCGTTAAACCTAATGTTATTTAAATAGATCGATTGAAAATCAATTCAGCCAAATGGAAATTCGCTTAGACGGCAGGTTTGCTGCGGCGGGGGTATTTATAATTTCTATTTATATCATTGTTGCAACTATCACTACATTTTACATCGAGAAGGTAGGGTGTTGTCAATTACACTTCCAACTAACAATTTTTTGTTGTTGATTTTATTACATTTTAGGTTCAGTAACCTGTGAATCCAAAAATCAAACATCCGAAGAAAAACTTACAGATATCAAAGCATTTTCACCTGGATTTAAATAAATAGTCTTGGTTTATTTTCCAGGAAGAGAAAGTGGTAGAAGAGATCCGCTCTAGTTTTGAAGACTTGTCTATTGCTGAGGAAAGAACCAAAATTAAAGAAGAACCACACGCTGCACCAACACTGCAATTCCAACATCAGCATGCCAATATCGCAACTGAGTAAGTAAATTTTATAGTAAGGTTATATTGTTTTATACTTTTCAATGTAGGCCTACAATATTGTGTTTAAATATATATTTCCATGAACTTCGCCCAAATCTTAAAACACCCTGCCATCGATCAGATTTTATGAATAAAAAACTGCTCTAATAATGCCAGTGAACTGAAAACTCTATCCAATTACTTTTGTGTTTGTCATCTAGATTGCAGCACATGTCAAACCCTTTGGTGGAAGTTATTAATTAAAATTGTGTTGCTACTCATGACGTCTGGTATATTGGGGATTGTGATACTAATATGATTAAATTACGCTTTGTGTTTAACACATTCATTGTACCGGGTACCGAATCCCACAGGAACTCATGTAGCTGGGGAGTGTGACACATGGACTGGCAACCTGTTACCATAGTAACATAATTGTTTTATATTAGTTTGACACCTACTTACTTGGTTGATTGATATAATTAGAATCACCCGGTGGCGCCCTGGCCAGGGGGCACCATAGCCGTGGAAGAACAAAAAATTTACAACCTTATAGGTGAACAAATATTTTACGGAAAAATCGTTTAAACATCTAATAACTTGAAAGCACAAAAAATATGTCAAATAACACTCGTAAGTGTTTACAAGAGAGTGTTATTTGACATATTTTTTGTGCTTTCAGGTAATTAATAACACGTACGATTCTGATCAAGTAGACATCTAATCAATGATAATAACTAGGCCTACTAAAAAAAGGGCAATCTATAACTTAATGGGTTTATTCATCAAATATGTAAGTAGAACCCCGACTATCCAAAACAATTGGTTCTGAGAGGCATTAGGGTAGTCGGACGTCAACGTCTTTGTTAAGCGTACCTCAGTCACATAAAGTGTATAATTTGAGCTACAAACAACATTTTCGATTATCTTTTAGCGAATTTCCCATATAGAGAATACTTTTTTAATACTTTTCTTTGAAATAGAGACCATACAAAGTAGGTATTTTAAGCCAAGTATGAATGGAGATGAGTTTATGATGAGTGGCGCGATCTTGTAGTCTTGTTAGTGACTAAGGCCGACATATTCCTTAGACACAGCTGTCAAGTAATAGCCCATACAGCTAATGGCGACTTAGGGACCTACAGTTTATGGTGGAATCCGAACCACTTTTTTTTCCTTGGTACATACAAATTGGTCTAATTATCAGGATAGTACTGCTGATAGTCGTAGTACTCACCCGTGCGGACGTTAATCCACACCAGGGAGTATGGCATCCACAGTGCATGCCTATAAATATCCACAATTCGTGATCTCCTAGTAGCAGGATTGCAGGACGACGCCACCCGTCCCAGTCATTATATAAGCTATTACCGTACTGTAGTACTCATAGTAAGACCTGGACCCGGGACCGATTTACTTTTTCGTTTTGAGGTCCCTATAGGCTAAAAACACCATCTGTCCAAATATATATATATATATATATCCGTTAGCACCATAACTATAAGCAAAAATAATCCGATTATGATGAAATTTAGTATAAACGTGTAAACCTATAGTAATTCGAACGAGTAAGCAGCACGATCGCCATGTAGCCGAGTTTCACACAAAGCGTTGCCAGCCGCTCTTGTAAAGTCAGCGTGGCAGTAAATATGAACTTATATTTTGGATGACCGACATTCGGATAATCAGCACTCTGCATTGTAATTTAGTATTCAACTCATACTTACTTACTGCTGTGGCTCTTGGTACCTAAAGGTCCATTTCCTATCCTGCGACTGTTACGACTCTAGCTGCTTGTCTCAATTCCTATGCCGCCACTCCTATGACTCTCACGACTAGTGACTAGTGAAATTGCAATACTCACCGTCATGGAATAAGCATAGTTGGCAGCTTATAATATATAAGCTTATAATATATAATGTATATGTAAGTAGTAATATATTACTTGGAGAAAAGGAGGAAAAGGTATTATTAATGTGCATGGTAAAAAACAATGAACAACCTAATCCATTGTTCATGGTACGGTGAAAATAGGGGTTTCAGAGTATTCTTATTCAGAGACATCTTCTTCAAGTATTGGGGGTGAACGTATGGGTGGTAACGAACCAGTTCCATCAACTTTGAATCATCTATGAAGGTACATACCTCAAAATTCGTATGTATAAACTATAAATTCGTTACAGCCGCACGAATGAAGCGACTGAACTGCTCACACGACGGCTCCAGCCTAATTAGTAAATTATTCTGGAGACGGCAAAACAGCCATTTGAAATATTTTGATTAAGTGTACTATACAATTATTTCAGAACGCATTTTAGTCAAACAAAAGTCAATAGTTTAATACAAGGCTGTGCTGAGCTTTCCGTGCTGCCCTATTGGTATGGCGGATGTTATATGTATACTAAGTACTCAGTTATGTATTATTCATTGTTGTACATGTGGCAGCCCTGTCTTTGAGAATACACACTCTTCCGCCCTCAAGATGTCTATTGCAGAGTCTAAACACCTTTAGCATAATTTCTTACAATATTCTTATATTGATTAATTACACGGGAGCGGGATTGCCGGCCGCTGCGTAGTGGCGAACGAAGAAAACACTTCCCCCTGTTTACTTCATACGCTACTACGCAGTGAGCTGAAAGGTTGAAAGTCCATCCGAAGGCCAATATGGTGTGTAAACACTGTGGTGTGTAGAGATTGTGGTATTGGTATTTCTATTGCGATTTTTACCAAAATGTAACAGATAATCATCAGTGAACTGTTGAATTGAATAAATGTCGCTAAGTTTGAGTCATACAATCACTTTTTAATGGCGGGTAAGTTTACAACTTAATGAGTCACGTTTTACTTAACTCCAAATAAATGATTAAAAACTATTGTAAAATGGAATAGTTTTTATACCTTTAGAAAGATAATATTCTTAACTTGCACTTTGTTACATAGATGAACTTTATCTCACAAAGGGATCACTGTAATTGAACACTGAAGTGAACACAAATTTCGAGCAAAGTCAGTTGCACTAAGTACGCGTCACAAAACTGCCTAACACGGTTTGTTAAAAAAAATCATAGCAAGGGATATTTTTTGTCTACAAAGAAACTGGTGGTACTACTGCAATGAGATAGAAATTTCCAACATTATGGTGCAAAAATCATTTTTATATATAGTTTCATATGATCTCACAACAACAACAAATAAATAAATTTTTACGAGTGCCAGATCGACGAAGTGTTAGAGCGACTATAATTGCCGCAGTCGTAAAACACATATTATTCACTGAAATATATAATACCCATATGACAATGTATCTCATTTGAAAGTTCACGAACTTCTGTGCTTTGTGGTATTTAATTCTTTTAGATATGAATTTTTGAAAATATTATTGCAAAATCGCGAAAAATGCCTTGCCACTACAACAGAGTTCGCCCATTGCCAGTTGGAGGGTTTATGGTAATAAATTAAAGTGCTGATGATTTAAGACGGAGTAAAGAGGCTTAGGCCTATTTTTAATTGACCAAAAGTTATTTAGACCTTGTCAACGGTTAGTCAGATTTTAATTAGCCCAATGTTTGAATATCGTAGTCAGTTTTAATAAAATGTTCATTGAAATCAAGCCTCCAAATCAAACTATAATATTGTAATTTTATAATATACGACGTGAGAGCTTTGTGCGTGTTTATTGATAACATTTGATCCTGATAACACTGTGCTACAAACATAAGTGACGAGTAAAAGTCTATAATTAGTTAGTCTAACACCATTTCCATCTTTCCTTGAGAAATTGTTTTGGACATTGGCTCTCGATGAGATAAACTTTTGGAGGGAACCGTAATAAGCTGGGATTTAAAGTTGAGTGGTGTTGTCAATAACTTGTTGACAATATTTATTTGGAGTAGGCTGGAATAAAAATTTAAATTAAAATACAACAACATGTATCACGTTTAAACTCTGTGCCTCCTGATCATCATTAGAGACATACTCAAACTTAATATTTGAATTAAGATTAAAAGTAGGGTGAAGTGGGGTAAGTGGAACCAGGGGGCAAGTGTAACCAGCTTATCAATCAACTGATAACAGGAGAACGTGATGGTGATGCAACTGGAACAACAAAACAATTTTTTTCTAAGACAACTTTTTTATCTTTTTCATTGTCTTTAAAAAGCTAATTTGTTATAGTTATGGTACAAAAAATGTTCACAATTACAAGTATAATATTACCTGAGCAATGTAAAGTCAACACTGTATAACTAGAGGACCCCATGCTGCTCCGCAGCGTTAAAATAAATATACTATCCGATAAATAATCAAATTTATGATTTTAGATTGAGTAATACAGTATCTTGAGCTTAACTGATTTAAACGATCAATACAGTAGCTCAAATTAAAGCCTATAATTTACTGATTATTTTGAGTCTAAAACATATAAAAAAACATGAACAATACTGGAGCTATTGATTTTCAATCATAGAAAAACCATATGAAAAATAATTTTTATGTTGGTTGTTCACCTATTTTGCTTGAAACTCGTCCAATTTGAATGACTAATAACTTAAATGAAAGCCGGTATTTCACTGTAGATTCTTAGACCAAAATATGTAGGATTATATATAATTATAACTGGTGAAATGCATCTTAAAATGAGGTAAGAATTCAAAAATGAATTAAATTATGTGTTTTGGTCAAGTAATACAGTAGGTAAATATATGCCGATGCTTGATGTGAAATCTTTGCGTGCATGTCTTCTATTTGATACCCCAATCATGAAAATCGTTCGGATAGAAGAGAGAAACAAACTCGGAAAAGAAACAAACTAAATTCAACTCCCATAGGAAATACATGGAGAGCAAATTTCGCTTACATATAAGCCGAGTGGGAGTATAGATAAATAAAATGTATTTAATGACTGCCGAACTAATAATTAAATCCATACACCCACTTGTTGTGACTTACCCAGGTCATTGGTATTGATGTAAAACACAGTGTAGAGATAAGCTAATTTGTATTAGTCAAGTTATGTTATCTGTGTGAGGTGTGCAGAGAGGCTGTGTGTGTGTGTGTGACGTGGACCAATAGGTCTAGAGTGAGAGAGAGTAACACTGGCACAGTCACAGTGTGGTGTGTGGTGGTGAGTGTGTAGTGTCTTGTGTGTCTGTGCCAAGATCAAGGTCTGATAGGTATACCACGTGAGTTCAGTATTTGTTGTACTTTCATAATTACAAAAAACATTGTTAGGTTAAGGGATGTGTTTTTTGTAAAATGTACAGGTTGGGGAAAAGTTAAACATAATTAAACATATTTAAACATAATTAAACGGAATTAAACATATATTTTCACGGTTATTAATTTAATCAGAAGACATCAAATTATAAAAACCTAGAGTTATATAAAGTCCATGTTGTTAGACAGATCATTTTACAGCGTCCGTGAATACCTACTTTAGTGGTCATTCACAAAGTCATGTGCGCATGTTTAGTTATTTAGTTATAGAATTTTTTACAGTAAGGAATTTTTGTTATTAAGATGTAATAAATTTATTTTTCTTGTACTGACTTGGCTAATGCAAGTATTGTCAATTTGGTCCAATAAATGACTTATTGACTTATTAATGTCTGGTGACACAGGGCGTTAGTGTCGATGAAATTTTGTTTAAATTATCTTAGAGTTAATTTAATGATTTATTTTGTGCTTTACTGTTTGGTTATATAACTAGGGTACGAGTTATTGTTTAAGATTATATCGTTTTATTTGGTTAAACGAAGTTTCAAATGACAAATAACTAGATACAAACTGTTAACAAAGCACAACCTATACAGTGCACCGGACAGAACAAAAAAAAATTGCTTCAGCTGTTCCATAAGTATGAGAAATCTATAAGGGAGTATGTTTTATTTATGGTTAAACTCTTGACACAAATTGCTCAGATTTGAAAGTAAACCAAATAACTCTCCAGCCACCAATGGGTTACTATAGCTATAGCTACAGTAAAATTCAACAGGAGTTAATTCACGGCTAGAACAATGGTTAGGTTTCCAAGGGGCGCGGTTACCTTAGAATTCAGATTTGTCTTTTCACCACACCCAAACTTGAACTTGATGTGACTATTCATAGTCCCCCGAGACAAGGTGGTAGCCATCTGTTTAATGACCAAGGTTCCAAATCAAGAAGATGATACAATTTTAGCACAGCACTGAATAATACAGCTTTCATTAGACAAAATCTGAAAATTTTCTTTGGTAGATATAATATTTCTAGATGAGACAAATATATTTTGTGAGAGTTGAGGTTTTCACTTGTTTGTTATAAAGACTTTTTTTCATACAACATTAATAATAGAACCAGCAAAGCTGGGAAACATGTAAAATAGTTCAAATTAAAGTACATCAAAATTAAATAAAAACACTACAAAAATCATACTTACATCATAAAATATCACCGTCACAGCAAACCTGCAGACTTAAGTGAATTTGCCTGATTGGATTTTATCTCAAATATTAGATTAGACTCAAATATTACCTTAAAATGTCAGATTTATGCCCCATTTAAATAGTATTTGATTTAATAAATACTTAGGTTTGCTGCTATGAGGGAAGGAACAAGAGTTTTAGTCAAATTTTAATAGTATAGAGGATAAAATAAATAATTTGCCAAATTGTATCAAAATATATTCATTATGAAGCAAACTACTACCATTTTCTTGTTCGCTATAAGAATAACATGGGAATTTTTAACATACAGTTTTTTTCTCTGTAACCTCCAGCTGTACAACAATGCTTTGAATATACAAAATTATTTTTTCTTAGCTCTATATAGCTATATAATTGTAGTGACTAATGAAAATTGAGCATTTTTATGTTTTAAGAGTAAAAATTTTAATAACCCAATTTTGAAAAAAAAAATCAAAACCTCATACCACTCCGTTCTTCTGGTTTGTGAACTCATTCAAGTTTGACCAAAATTACCCAAGTTATCGTGTTGACCTATCAAATTTTGATATATTGTGAGTCAATGATAATGAGTCAGTAATTATTTACTATATTTATTTTTAACTATCCAATGATTTATTCATTCACACACCCAACTCATCTACAGTTTTTGCAGTTTCGGCATTTAGAACAGTGTCTCAGTCACTTGTAATAAATTAGAAATAATTTTGGATTTCAGTTATTCACTCGTTTACTAAAGAAGAGTAATTTTTATAAAAAATCTAGACTAACATATTTTTCTTGGATTTACTATTGTAGTACTTTCTTATGAGTTAATAAGTACCTAAAAAATGGAGTAATTAGTTAAGTATTTCATTTTCATTTCATAGGTAAAATAAATAAACGTAAACATCTTTAAGATGAGCTGTTAACTGATAAGTTTCCTTTCCAAAGAGGCTCTCAGGTCATTGACTTTCCAAAGGTCAGAGGTTGAGATTTATGCTTGCTTGTGCTTTCACATTTGGTTTTTGGTTCCGTGTATGGTTTGAGTAGAAATTGTTAACATTATCTTTAAACACCAAGAACCGATATTGAAATAACTTTAAAACCAACTAGTGTACCTGTTGCTCAAATTTTGCAATTTCTAAGTATTACAGGCGTTATTTTAAAACTAACAACAGGCATAATTTCCAATGACTTTAAAAAGAGTCGATTCAAAGATTATTGAAATACTCACAACGTACATAACAGTTTGATATAGGCTAATCAACATTTCTTGTGAATATCTTATCATTTTATAAAAGCTGATCTTATTTTTTTGTGTTTTCTACAAAGTTTCTCACTCATAGCCGCATTAGGTTGTCCATAATAACGATTATAAATATATAAAAAACATTATTTCTATTTCTTCTACTTGGTGGTGTTTTATGACTTTCCTATGTTTACATAGTTGCAAATTGGCTCTTTCAATGATTGCTTTCTCGATTTTTTCCTTTGTAATATTTAAGCCATCCCAAATCCAAATAGTAAATATTTCATTTCAACCAAGTCAGTAAATGCTACAAGCACACGTAGGGAATGCGTAAATTGCAACTAAAATATTAACAGCAATTAAATTATCCAGCTGATCATAATGTAAACAAATATGTTTTTCATAACGATATCATGTGAACTTTAAAAGGCACTGGAGCAGAGCCTAAGGGAAAAAATGTAAGGTCAGTTTGAAAATCTACACACCTAGACGGACATTTTGGTATGTAATATGTGGGGTTAAATAATAATATAGATAGAAGATATATATTTTCAACAAATCCTTTTTGTCTGACAATATTAATATGAAACATTTTTGGGACTATTAGGGTAGACAGTTTTGAAAAATAAGTGGGTTTAAGATGATTATTATTTTATCAATTATAGACCTATAGTGTGAGATACAGTTCTAAAATTTTTATTTTATTTTTAGAAAGTTTACACTGTAGAAAGTAAAGAAAATTTGTGTTTTTATGTTAACAAGGAATTGATTGAATGTTTGAATACAGAGTAATAAGGCTCTAGGTTTGCCTTGAAACTTTTAGACCTTGACGTTTATATCTGATGCACTTATACATATTCAAATATATCTATACACAAAATATACTGTAAATTCTTTGTATTAAGAATAATTGTTGTATGTTTACTATACACAAATTAATAGGTAAGTTTAAAACTTGTAGTATTTTGTTGGAGTGATGAGTACGACAAATTTCAACCTTACAAAGTATATAAAAACAAAATTTAACTACAATTAAATGAAATTACACATTTTATTTTACATTCTTATAAAACAGCAACATTTAACAGTAAAACTTCTGTTCTATCCCCAAAATTCACAGAGAGATATGAGATAATCGTCTAAGTCTAAATAAGGTTTGTTGTTACGTTTCATAAAAGGATTTATCTATATAAATAAAATTAGAGTTTTGTCTGTACATTGCTCAGAATCATAAACTTTTAGGTTATTTTTACGTGTTATACATTAGAGAAACCGAAACAAGTCTCATCTAAATTTCTGTCTGTCTTCCAGTCTGTTACGACCCAAGAGCCATTTTACGCGGCCTACTCCTGAAAAACGAGAGTACCTATCAAGTTCCAAATCATTTTAATGCATTCACTGGATTGGCGAGATTGTCTTTAGCCATTAAAATATGGCGTCACCACTTTGTAAATAAAATGACGGACGTTTAAAAACCCAATTTTGTGCGATTTTTGTAAAGTTTTCTCCCAATGTTTAGCACATATTCTTCTATGAAATAACGAACAGCTGTTCAAATCCAGATTATTTCTTCTAGCTGTCACTGATATGTTTACATTGAATGTTGTTTACAAATACCGCAACCATTTCCGATCACGTTTTGAAAGCAAATCCAAACCAATATTTATTAAAATAATTAATTTTTCCTTACATAACGGATTTAATTAATCGCAAGTGCAATAATTTGTAGGGTAACAGTAAATGAAAATAGAGATTCTTTGTGCATACAATTGTTCTTGAGTTTTGATAACCGGGAAATAGACCTTGAATCAGTGTTGTATATTGCTGGGAAACTTACATTTTTTAAATGAGCATTTTCAGTCAAGACTCGGCACACGACCGACGCGCGTCTACTTGTCCATAGTAAAAATAAAAGTAGGCCTACCGTGTATTTATGTTTTATTCGTTATGTGTATAAGTGTACAGTTCGTGTATGTGTTTCAAAAACTCCAAGATGCACCTAATGGGGAAGCTCAATACCTTATATTAGGACTGATGATGGCGATTTAATTTCGCCGAAATGCATCTCCTGTAAAAGGATACATTAGGATCGACCGGCGGACACAGGTAATTTAGCCTTTTATTGATTGTCATACCGATCCGGAACAACAACAAACGACATAAAATGAACTTATGTATAATAAATAGTTTGGCCAGCATATCTGAAAATATGCAAACCAACTACTGTTCTTTATATAAGAAGGTTTCAACTGATACTATAAGATCCCCGTGCGTAGAACGGGTACACAGCTAGTACTTCTATACAATAGCATATTGTATAAACTAATATTGACTTATATTTAGCATATCTTGAATATTTGGCTCGCTTTTACACATTTAATTCAATAAAGGAAACAGTTGAATGTTTCTTGATTATCAAAAGTACTTCATCCACCACACTTCCATATCTTGAATGCACCCCCC